CAGGGTCAACGACTTATCGGTGGAATTTAACCGTGTCTGACAAACCTGAAGGTAAGTAGAGCTCAAAGCTGGTCTCCTCACTTAAATAAAAGTCATAATGAATGTGTAAGCTCTGATGACCTGCAACATAAAGTCATTCACATCTGATTTTACACAGAGGAGAAGTCATCGGGGTATTTCCTATACATACTCACAGCTGGGATCGGAGTGGTACTGTGTTGCATCATTTCAGCCACATGCCTCTGTAGGTGAGTAAAACGTTCTCTTTCTAAGCCTGTGAGTAAATTAGTTTTTTTCTTTCTGCTGCTTTGTTTCAGAATTAATTGATGTGGTTCTAAACACAGACATCCTTTTTCTGCTGTACACATTTAAACATGTCACTTCATTTCAGTTACAGATGTGATCACTCTGACTCTGACCCCTTTGTGGTCTCTTGCCATGTTGTAAATCTTAGTTTAAAACATGCAAGTTATCGGGGCGTGCTGGTGGTGCAGTGGTAGGGCGCGCGTCCCATGTATTGAGACTCTCGTCTCGAGCGGTAGGCCCGGGCTTGCCTCCACCCGTGGCCCCCCTCCGCATGTCATTCCCCGCTCTCTCTCCCTGGTTTCAGACTCTATCCACTGTCCTCTCTCTCTCTCCCTGGTTTCTGACTCTATCCACTGTCCTCTCTCTCTCTGGTTTCAGACTCTATCCACTGTCCTCTCTCTCTCTGGTTTCTGACTCTATCCACTGTCCTCTCTCTCTCTGGTTTCAGACTCTATCCACTGTCCTCTCTCTCTCTGGTTTCAGACTCTATCCACTGTCCTCTCTCTCTCTCTCTCTGGTTTCAGACTCTATCCACTGTCCTCTCTCCCTGGTTTCAGACTCTATCCACTGTCCTCTCTCTCTCTGGTTTCTGACTCTATCCACTGTCCTCTCTCTCCTTGGTTTCAGACTCTATCCACTGTCCTCTCTCTCTCTGGTTTCAGACTCTATCCACTGTCCTCTCTCTCTCTCTCTCTGGTTTCAGACTCTATCCACTGTCCTCTCTCTCCCTGGTTTCAGACTCTATCCACTGTCCTCTCTCTCTCTGGTTTCAGACTCTATCCACTGTCCTCTCTCTGCATTAAAGGCACGAAAAGCCCAAAATAAATCTTTAAAAAAAACAAAAAAACATGCAGGTTATTGCAGATAAAAAGTCAAGTCAAAGTCAAAGTCAACTTTATTTTCAATTTCAAAATATGCCAGACATACAGTGGAATCGAAAGCAGTGTTACTTCATGCTCTTCGTGTTAAAATTGGAGTCAGGATGCAATAGTTTGTCTAAATTCAGTGATTCAATATTTACATTAAAAATGTTTATGGATCATTTGAATGCACAAGACGTTCTCATAGTCCACTGCACAGCTTCTACATTACACCTTTTGTGTTTTTTATATTTAATATTTTACATTTTTAAATTCTATTTTATATATTGTAATATCTTCTTATTCTGTATTATTTAAGTTGTTGTTAGTTCTGCTTTATTTCCTTGTTAATTGTTTAGCACCAATACACCAAGTCAGATTCCTTGTATGTGTAAATGTACTTGGCAATAAACCCAGATTCTGATTCTGATTCTGATTCTGATTCTGATTCTGATTCTGACATATCTTGTGAGTGGAAAACGACATGTTCTTTGCCACCTGTAATTGAAACAGTTTAAGTTCATTGGATCTGGGGAGAGAGGAGTTTGTGGAGTTAATTGGGTTTAGTTGAGACTAGCAGAGAGTGAAGCCACACGTTCGACCTCTCTCTGTTTCTCTCTTGTTTATCATTTGGATAATTCTGTATCTGTTTTTGTTTATTTTTTTGTCAAAGTAAACACTTAAACTTTTATCTAATGGTCCTGTGGATGTTTTGGATGTGGATTACAGAAGAGGGGATTTTTTGTAGCATCAATCTATACGGCTTCATTCAGTGGAAACCTACAGTAACAAACTAGTTATAAGTGGACTAACTCAGAGGTGCCTTTAAAACAGATAAACTAATCCAAAGTGTACTAATAATACCAATAAAACATTTGAAACAACAGAAAGGTACAATAAGGTGGATTTTCATTATTGCAACTGTTTTAATTTCTGCAGGAAATGTAAGGCCAAGACAGCAGACCAGAACCCAGTCCAGGACCAGTTTCAGCAGCAGTCAGCTGGAGAGGTCAGAAGAACTGTCATCTGTTAAGAAACAACTTTTCTCTTTTTTATCACGCTTAAAAAACACTCAACTTTGTTTTATTTTTTTTCCCAAAAAAAAAACCCATGCAGATCCCTCAACAGCAAAGTGGTACAGACAGGAGGACAAATAACAAGCGGAAGAGCGAGTACATGGAGAGGCTCAACTCAATCTATGATGCCTACTGAGCTGTCTTTCAAATGAAAGACAAACAAGTGACACATGTAATTCATTTTTACAGTTTTAAACCAGGTGCTTACAAGTTTTATATATATAAATATAGATTTAAAGTTGATGTGCAATAGGCCTACGTGAATTAATAAAAAGTAGCCTATGTTAACATTAAAAAAAGAAAACATTTTGCCGCCTATGTGATGACGATTGTGACGTCAAGTCGGCAAAACGAGCACCTCCTTCTTTTCCGAGTTTCCGAGTTGTTGTTCCGACTTGAGCAGGTGTTCATGTGCATTTTACAACTCGGGTATCGTTTTTCCGATGTGCCTGACACCCTGAATGCACCAACTGCCAAACGTGCCGTTCGATGACGTTACCACTGTTATCAGCCAATAGGAGCAGCCTCACCAAAACAAACCGGAAGCTGCAAACTAGTAAACACGACCGAAAGGAGAAGGAACGTGCAGCTCCTGAAATAACTGAATTACAACAGGGCTATCTCAAAGTGCAGTTATCCCCAAACTTTTAAACACATTTCCATAAACTGTCACCCAATTTCTCAACACCTCAGAGACAAAAAAAAGAGTGAACTACTTTGTGAAAACTCTACAAATGTCTTACAAAGTGAAACAAAGCTAAAAACCATGTCCCCTCTTCTCTAAACTGATTCATTTAACCAAAACAATACACACTGATGTGAACAATTCAAAACACTACCATCAAAAGTGTTCATGTATGTTTTGGATGAGAAGCAAAAGAAAAAAAAAAAACCTTCATGTGCAAGCACCTAGTAAGAGAGAGTACCCTGCTGATGAATGTAGACACAGAGGGGTTTTCAAGTGGGCACTCTCCTTCCTCAGTGTTTTTGTTGTTGAGCTGACGACGTCTCAGGAGGGCTCAACAGCGCCCTCTGGTGTCCCAGAAAACATCCCCTATATGTCAACCTGGACTGCTACTTTGGGTCCCAGCAGAGGTCTTGCATCTTCATCCATAGCCATTGGCTGTTTCTCTCTGCAGCTTTGGTCGCTTCCTGCAGTTTCTGGCCTCCTAGGTCTCTAAGCAGCTTCAAACCTAAGGCAAGGTGAGTTTATTTATGTCACACATTTCAACAACAAGGTAATTCAAAGTGATTCACACATCAAAAAGCATCATGACAGAGGAAAGAAAAGAAACATTAAAATAGAACATTTAAAAATCACTGAAATTATTAAATCTGAAAATATGTTCAAATAAAAATAATTCAAATGAAATTAATTGAAATTAAAAAAAGTAAAAATATAAAAAGAGTTAAACGTTACAGAGCAGAGTTAAAGTTTAAAATCTTATTAAAGCTGTTTAATGAAAGGCTGTAAACAGGTGAGTCTTCAACCTGGATTTAAAAGAGCTGAGAGTTTTCTGGGAGTTTGTTCCAGATATAAGGAGCATAGAAACTGAACGCTGCTTCTCCATGTTTGGTTCTGACTCTGGGGACAGAGAGCACACCTGTCCCAGACCACCTGAGGGGTCTGGATGGTTCAGAATTAATCAGGAGGTCAGTGATGCTCAGGTGTCTTCTTCTGCAAAACTGATTCTCGAGTGCTACTTGAGTGACATCAATGGAGTTGTACTTTGAGTTTAGCAGATTGAATTCATGTTTGTGATACATGAGCTTCATCTTTTCAGGTTGGTGTGTATAGTTAATTTGTTTTGTGTATAAAAAAGTTAAATGTATTTGATAATAGGTTTTTCTTGTGTTTCTTTTTGTTGGCTATCCTTGCTCTTTGCTGCTGTAACACTGAACATTTCTCTGATATGAGTAAAGGATTATCTTATCTTATTGAAAGCTTTTGAAAGTCTTTTTTTCATGTTACATTGACTTACTCTAGAATTTTAAATAATTCCTCCAGTGGTTAAAACTGGGTTTTGTTGTAAAATATCTACATTTATGAGAAAAACAACTTTCCTATTAAAATCATATTATTGAGAACAAAGTCTTAAGTTTCCAATTGTCAACAAAAATACCAGACTTCAAATTTTTTCACTTTCAAAGGCGGCTGCTGAACCTGAATCTGAATCTGCTGAAAATTTGAGTCAGGTCAGCTCGACGTGTTTTCATGACAATTTGTGTCAGATGTTTTTGTTTTGATGACAAAATGATTTTACCCCCCCCCCCCCCCCCAAATTTTGGTGTAAAAATGTTGAGCAACGACCTGACTCAAATTTTCAGCAGATTCAGGTTCAGCAGCCGCCTTTGAAAGTGAAAAAATTGAAGTACAGTATTTTTTTTGAAAATTGGAAACTTAAGACCTTGTTCTCAATAATATTATTTTTATAGTAATAGAATTTTTTTATCAAGAAAATGTTGAAACCCCCGACCCCCTTGCTCCCTATCCCTCTTCCTGCATCTTATCCCATCTCTCCCCCAATCACTTTCCAAGCCCGGCGCAGTCTAGACCTGTGAAGGCTGTTTCATCATGAGCTGGAGATCCGGTCTGAAGATTTCTGCCTTTTAATAAGAAAGTTTTTTCTTACCACTGTAACTTTTGCTGCTTTGCTAAAGTGCTCATGATGGATAGACCGGATCTTTGTAACATAACAATGAGTAAGGTCTTTTACCTGCTTTTTGTAAAGTGTCTCAAGATAACACTTGTTATGAGTTGAAGCTATACAAATAAAAATTGATTGATTGAATTGACCCCCGACCTGACTCACATTTTGATGAAAAAATGATGATCCATGTGCGTGACTCAATTTTGTTTTAGCAATAAAACATGTTGAGGATCTCTTTAGAGAGAGAGAGAGAGAGAGAGAGAGGGGGCATTTGTAAATGTTAGGTCACAGAAGTGTTTCCTTTAAAAAAAAACATAATTTCTTTCACTTATTAAAACACTAAATAATTCTAGAAGCTGTCTGCTCCTCTTGGTAAATGCACCAGGTCATTTAACAAAGCTATGATTTCACTTTTTTAATCTCATAAACTTTGAGAACTTTTCACATTCTCACACTATTGAAAGACGTTAGCCATGACCTCTGTGGTTCACGGCCGACGTGACACATCATTTCCTTCAAAACAACAACCCACTCCCTCTTCGCCCGACTCTTTCACAGAAATATTTATTGGTGATGAACTGTCAGTCTGTCTTTTTCTCTGGCTTATGGTCATCATGTTTCATCCAAACCAAGCAGCTCTGCTCTCCTTATTATTTATGCACGGGGTCTTTGCAGGTAGAGTACAACTTTTGTGTTTTTTGCAATGCATGCTTTTCTCAAGGCTAAGTTTTGTATCTGTTGCATATGTATTAATTGTTTTTTCATTCTTTGATTTAAGCGGATCAAAAAGTCGTCCACACGGATGAAGAGGTGTCCAGGGGAGGCTCTGTCATCTTTACTTGCAACACATCAAGAGAAAATACAAAACAAATCAACTGGAGCAAAGGCAGATTTTTGTTTTCTCATTTAATGAAAGGAAATGAGACTGTTTCAAATTTCACCTCTGACAGACTGACAATAGATCTATCCTCAAAGCTGATTATTTCTAATGCTCAGGAAGATGATGAAGGACTATATACATGTCATTTAACTGAATCTTCAGGGTCAAAGACTTATCGGTGGAATCGGTGGATTCCTTCTATGTGGCATCCCTCCAGCTGTTTATCTCTGCATGTAAGTTATAACTTGACTGTGTGACAATTTCTGCCAAATAAACAAGCTTTAGTTCATCTTGGCTCACAGTGACCATCTCACACCTGCACCATGTGTTGCTATAGTCTGAGCTCGTTGCAATTTTTTAGACATTTCTGTTTTATTTTGCTGCTATATATATATATATATATATATATATATATATATATATATACACGTCATGCAATTAATACAACAGGATATTTGAATGTGTCAATTTGAGGGTTCTTAAGTTGATGTTTTTCGGGGTATTTGCTAAAATCTCATTTTCTCTAAAGGGCTATCAATCCATCAAAAAAATAAATTAAAAAAGCAGATTAATCAATGATAAATATAATTTGCCCTATACCCATTCTGTTTTACATAATAGCCTAGATGTTTCTTTTATTTCTTTAAGTACATTTGGCAGATAATCTCCCTTTTACATTTGATCAAGAAGAGTTCAAAATGTGTCACATTGTTACATTTATGAATTAGTTCAATAAAGATTCTAAGACTTTCCTAACAATGTATTGGAGACAGTTGAAATGTGCCATGGAGTAATATTATTGGTTATAAATCCCTACAGGGAAAGCAAGAGCTGGGCCTCAAACCAGGACTTAACCTGCAGCAGAACCCTGATCTATGCCGTGGTTCAAGTCCCGTTTGGAGGAGGAGAGGTCAGAAGAACTTTACTCAAACTAGTGTGCTCTAAAATCTCTCAAACATTTTGTCCTGTGAGTTTATTTCCATATTTTTCCGCTGCAGGTGCCTCTGAATCTGCCCCAAAGCTGTGTGGAATACAAGATGATGAACACTTGAAGGGACTCGACTTCAATATTTTGCATTGAGTTCAAATTAAAACTGAGTAACCAGAGAGCTGCTTGAATGGAATAATGACAGAACACATCTCTATGATATATATATATATATATATATATATATATATACAATTTATATATAAAAAAACAAAACATTTCAGCAGGAAAATTGATGCCCTCAGTTTTCACCTCTTAAAGGGAACACATTTGCAACCCTTCTTTGAAATCAGAACATTTTTTTGGCATGCCTTTGCCTTTTATTAGAGGGCCCTGTAGCAGGAATGTAATTTCTAAATCCCGTCATATCATCTTATTATCTAATTCAATTTTCTTTTTACATTGCTGTACTCTATTTTTTCAGAATTATGAACTCTTCTTAAATGTTTTGTTCTATTTTATTGTGGTTCTTGTGGCTAACCCTTTTGCACCAATACACCAAGACAAATTCCTTGTATGTGTAAATGTACTTGGAAATAAAAAACAATTCTGATTCTGATTCTATTACCCTTTAAATTTGATAAAAAGAACTTTGGATCGACTTGTTTTTTAAATGTATGTATTGGTATGACAATAATAATATTAATAATAATAGCTATGCAAATTGTTTTTGAAACCCAAATATTTATTAAGTTTAAAAATTAAATGCTTTTTTTTAATTATAATTGTTATTTTATTATTAATAATTAATTATGTTGGAGCAAAAAGTTGTATTTCATGATGAAACACCAAGTCAGCAGACATTATGGAGCAATGGAAACTTGGCTTTCAAGGAGAAAAAAAAAGAAAAGATAGTTGCTGTTCCACACCTGACCACAAGAGGGACTGCGTTAAAGGTGAAATAATTCATGGAACATGGATAGTGGAAATTCCGATCCCCCCTAAAAGCAGCAGGATCCCTTTTTGTCACGTGCTCTACTTGTACTTCCAAATAAATGAGGAAACACTAAAGACACACAGAGAAGAATGTAACAATACACACGAGAACAAAGACAAACACAAGCATAATATAAGAAATGACATAATGAAACAGAACAATAAATCTAAACTCTGAAATACACAAAATACAAAACTAATAAACTCCACATCATGAACACTTGCAAACATTGTTAATGATGTTACACCGACTATTTTGTCATTATTAAAAACAAGTTACTGTATAGACATTTGAAAAAAAAAAAAATGTGTGTTGTCCCAAATAAATGCTTTATAATGAAATCAACTGGTTGGGACGGCCTCACTACAGGAATACTAAAACATGTAACTGTATAGTTTAATACAAAAACAACAGATACAGATGCAAATAGCCCAGAGAGAATATAATGCAGTAAGAGGTCACTAAAATACTAAAGGAAATGTAGCTCTTTGGATAGTGAACATCTCTTCTATGTAACAACAGCAGGAAATGTTGAGGCTGGTTATTATAGCGATACTCACATCAAACAATTATATTAAGTTATTCACTTGTTTTTAATCAACAACCCAAAAAAGGGACTGAAAGATTACTTGGATCGTGTAAATTCCGAGTCCTCCTGAACGCATCCGTGAGTGTGTGGTTTCGTGTCGTCCTCCTGTTTTGTCTCGGAGCAGAGGAAAGATGCTGGTATAAAGAAACTGCACACATGGATGGATGGATATGAATAATTTGGACGTAAACTATGGATAGGCCTGTGTTTGGGTTTAAGGAGCACCACTATGCTTTTACTGGTGTTAACGTTGATGGTTCCCACAGTCACAAACGGTATGTTGGCTCAGTTCTAATGAGAAAGTACCTGTCACGGTGTTACCGTTTTCTAGATAACTTTATGGTAAATACTTAAAGAAATAACAGAAATGTATACAGAACAATAAGAAAATGATTTACAACCTCTAAAGAGTTGACTGTGTGTAAAACCTTTTCTTTAAAAAGAGATCTTGTAAAACATATTCCTGTAGGGTACGTTATTTACGTTTAGCTTCGTCCTTCAAACTTTCAGACGGAAAAGTACAAATCTTTGTTTTATAGGCTAGACTACTAATCCCCAAAATGTTTAATTAGTGTGAATGCTGGAAGCAGTTTCTACTACTTTTATTTTTAAAGTTATTTAACTTTTTGTCCAAAATTTGGCCCCATTGAAATGAATGGGAAGATTTTCAACTTTTTCACGTTTTTACACTTATTTCTCAGCCTCATAACTTTGGCTGTGTTCTGCCTAGAGACTCCATTTTTGCTTTAAAGTGTTCACACACTTGTCCTCTATTCATATTACTTTCACGTGTCTTGCTACCTTTTATACTTTTCAAACTGTACCTCCAACTGTTGGGTGAAGTTTTGAACTTTTCTCACATTTTAGAGTGAGTGACATCATCGCTAGAGTGGGACAGAGTTCTGAAATAGTTTCAAAATCTCCCGAACAAATTGCTCTCCTGACCACAATCTTCACCCCACACACATAAATTTACCCTCAAAATGTAGGAAAACTTGTCCTCTCTGACATATTGAGTTTTCAGGACAATTGGAGAAAAGCTTTTTCCACTGTGAGCTTCAAAGCGGCAGGTGGTCCAGAGAAATCTCCATCTGGGCTAATGTTAAACTTAGGCCTGACTTCACTGACCACACCTCTTGGGACTAACTTTTCAAATCGCTGTGGTTTCCACATTTCTTGAACCCCAGACATGAAAATCACATCGACGCGTTCGGCCATTTGTCCTCTTGCTCCTAATCTTGTACTTTTTCTTCATCTTCTGCTGATTCTTCTTCATTCAGCAGTGTTTTGCAAAACATTTCAGCCGTCAGCATTCACACGCATTTTCCGCAGGTAAATGCAATTTCTAGTTAATATTGATAGGGTGAATTAGCCTAATGTGGGACAATTTTGGCATTTCAGACTTCTGAGATATATTGCAAGATGAAGCTATAGGCCTACATTAAATAATCCACACCCAGTACCACTCTGAAATCCCCAGGATGTCCCCTAATCAAACCCACACTCAGACATATCAGTAGTCTTAGTGCCAAATTGTTTGGACAATCTGCATTTCCTAATGTGGGACAGTGCTGTTCTAAATGTGGGACACTGAAAAGTCATGTTAAAAAGTCTAAATCACCTTAATTCAGGTATAAAAACCTGTCACACTCAAGTCTAAAATGTGCAATACCATATTCTGTAATTTTACCACTTACAATGTTATTGGTGTTACAAAACACTACAAATGGAATATAATAGTTTTGATGCATTTTGTAGAAAGACAATAGGCTATTAAATGATCATATTTGACATACAGAGAAAGCAGAATGTTGTGAACATGTTATGAATGAATTTATTTAAAGAAATGCAATGTTAAAATGTTAAAATGTTTTCTATTCCATACGTCTGTCCTGAACAAAAGAAATTCTTAGCCAACTAACACCAATACTATTTTGTTGACTAATTGATTAATTGATAGACAAATCTTTAAAACTGTGTTTTTCAGAGAAATATGCAAAATAACTTATTTAATCATATCTTTACCAGAGATGTACTTAGGGTTCTTAAAAAAACACAACAGGCATATTTGAATGCAAAAAACTGTCTCGCTTTAGGAAACACAAAGGAACTTTTAATTTAAAATAACAATTATAGAATTTATTTAAAACATAATATAATATTTTTTGATGAACAAACATATCATAAAACATCCAGATAAAAAAAAGTAGGATTGTTTTATTTATAAGAAATGTATATCCTTAACATTAAGTTTGTCTAAACAGTATGTCCCTGACCTTTGGGTGGTCTTCATGCTGTGTACTTCATGTTTGAAGCTTGTATCATTCTAATCTCTGATTGGACATTTGAGAAGTCATGTTATTTTGATCACATGACATCACAACTTGTGTTAACCCTTAGTTTTATTGACTTTCATTTGTTGTAGGAAGACCTACACCCACTTGAGCTGAGGCGTCCCACATTTGGCTAATTCACCCTACAATTTAAAAGCGTGTATTTATTTTGGGGGAGTCGTTAATGCAGACCTAAATAAACTAAAGGCCCACCATAAGTAGCCTACATTGTAGCTTTTCTCATATGGACGCAAAGGAAATGCTTGTTTTTTGTATTTTCTAAATTATTTCTATTCCAGTGAACGTTATCTTGTGCATCTTTACAGCTCTGGAGGTCATTGGAGGAAGAACGACAACGGTGCAGGGAGGAGCAGCTGTCCTCCACTGTAAACTCATTGGTACCACAGAGACCCTCACACAGATTTCATGGCAGAGATTGACCAGAGGAAAACCTCGGACGGACAATTTCTATACAATCTCGTCCCATTATGGACCATGCTCTGTCAATGGCCGTGATGATCGGTTTAGGTTCATTGGGAGTTTTACAGATAAAAATGGTACTCTCCAGTTATCGAATGTCACACTGATGGATGAAGGCAACTACACATGTGTGTTCACTTTGTTCCCCAGCGGGATCCATGAGACAGCGATACCTCTTATAGTTCCTGGTATGATACATTCAAAATGCTGCTCATGTTGTGTTTGTATGTGTGAGTCATGAACATCTTAAGAGTGTGTGTGTTAACTTTGTTGTTGACTGTCGCTCTCTTAGTGCCTCCGGTCACAAGCCTGAAGGATGCTCATCCTGCTTTGGGTAACGACGAGGTCCCTCTTATTACCTGCACGGCTGCTGGTTCCAAACCTCCTGCAGAGGTGAGGTGGCTCACTGGTACTCTGGGAGAGAAAGTGAGGCCGTCAACCAACTCCAGCCTTCATGCTAACGGTACGACTACCACAGTCAGCTGGCTGTTTGGAGTGCCTACCAGAGAACTCAACGATCGTTCAGTCCAGTGTGTCATCACCAGTCCTGCTCTAGAGAGAGAAGAAACCCTGACCTCCACCATACATATCCACTGTGGGTATATAAATACACTCTCCTACATCAGTTGTTTTATCTGTGGTTAATGAACTGTGTTTTTCAGAACATTTTTGAAGCTTCTGTGAGTGAATGGACACTGGTCATGTTTTATTCCTCCTCGTCATCCTCTTCTTTTTTTGGTTTTCATCGTTGTGTAAGACGAGCCTTCACCAGTGACCAATGGCTTAGCTAACTTTTTGTTTTTGTTTTTCAAATAGCCTGACATGTGATGCTCATAAGATTCACTTCTTTAAATTTTGCAGAATGGTCTTTGTAAACATTTATTTCCAAAAGAGAGATTTTTACTAAAAAAACAAAAAAGGGAACATGCCATGTAAATATTCTTGCTTCTTCTAAAGTTGTTTCTTTGGTTTTGCACGACTGCAGGGTTGATTTTATTTTTTTCACAAAGGAGAATCTTTGATGTGGATATATTTCATATCATTCATACTTGTACAATATAAGCGACCTTCAACAAGTCTGTGAAATGTTTTCCAAATATTTTCACTCAGATACGCCCCTGATATGTTTTTCCACATGCTCACATCAATCAGCTGTAATAATAAAGTTGGATTTGCTTAACTTGCTCTTAACTGGGAAACGATGACATCAGGGCACATTTGAGTAACACATAAACATAAACAAATCAGTTTTTTGGGAGTTGCATCTGATCATTTTGGGTCTTTTACCCGCTCTTTTTAAAGTGTCTTGGCGCTATACAAATAAAGATTGATTGATTTTACTAAATTAAACTCATATGTATTGAGTTTATATTAAATCATGGGAGTCCTCTCCTGATCTTTGGAAACAGTGATAAAGGTTGCAGATACAGTAGGAGGGTCACACACTACTGTTGTTGCTTTTGGCTCTTTGTTTCTTCCTCTCAGTCTGCAGGAACAGTTACGTCTCTTGTTTGATGGAATTCCCCAGAAGCCCTCATGTGACACATACTGAAATGCTCCACCTAACTAATAACAAAAAGTCACAGCATTATCTGCAGTTCTGGTTACACGTTCATTTATCTGTTTTCAGGCTTTATTTAACCTTCCAGTGGGAATGTTTGACCTTAAGTTCTCATCGTCCTGACAAACAACAGCCTCTATCTGAACAACAACATTTTTTTTTACTTACTGCTGATGTAGAGTGTGGTGTCCTGCTCTCACAAGTTTTAATCATCCCAGCTGAATAGGATCCAAAGATGATCTGTGTGTGTGTATATATAATTCACGTTTAGAGAGAGTAATAACACACCTCATTCTGTCTTCCTGTTTGTTGCAGCTCCTCCTCTGGAAGTGAATATCACTGAAAGGTCGGCACACTCCTTTGAATGTCTCACAGAGGCATATCCAGCTGCGAGCTTACT